TTTATAGATATATATGTAAACACATAAATATATAAATGTATAAATAAATATATAAATATACATATGCTTAAGTATACTTATGTATTTAGTATGTTATTTTAGTCCAAATTTTCTCCTTGGTTATCTGTAGCAATTTAAATTCCTTTGTCTGTTTTAACTTATGAAAAATTGATCCTTAGTGTTTTTGCCAGCAACAATTTTGACCTTAGGAAGTTTATAGAACACACGGGCCTTAACTTAGTTTAATTATCTTAATGGTATAGTGGTAGAGGTTTTATATATTGTTAAAAATAGGTAAAATTATTCATATCATGTGTTTGTGAATCAAAACCATAGCCATTTAACTCTGACTTTGTTAGCAGAATTTTTACAGATTATTTAAATTATTAAAAGCTTTGATTTCTAATAGTTTTATCCAAAGAGGAACATTCTAGACGTTCCTAGAATGCTTCATTTAAAGGAAAGTAGCTTTGAAGTTAAAATTTTTAGTGGTTAGATTTTAAGAGTTCAAACAGAAACTTTCTCAATCATTTTATCTTCTTTCTAGATCCTTAATCAAGTTGTATTGATTTTATTAGGAGCTAAATGCATCACTGTGTGTGGGATTTATGCTTACTCTGTATATATATAATCCCTTCTCTGTTTTCTACCTAATGATAAACAATTGTCTGGCATAGATTAATTACATATTATAATGTTTATTTATCTGTGGCCGTGTCAGGTCTTACTTGTGGCATGCAGGCTCCAGAGTGTGTGGGCTTGGTAATTGCAGCATGTGGGCTTAGCTGGCCTGAGGCCTGTGGGATCTTAGTTCCCTGAGCAGGAATAGAACCCGTGTCCCCTGCCTTGGAAGGTGGATTCTTAACCACTGGACCACCAGGGAAGTCCCTATTATATTAATTTAACAAATTCAATTTTTTGTAACTTGAATGTGTTCATATAGCTTTTGGAAAGTGATAGATATTTGTTTCTATTTTTATTTTTATCAACCAATCTCAATTAGTTTGGTTCAATACTGTATTTATTGAACACCTATAATTTCCAGACACAGTTAATGTTAGGCATTTCTTATTGAATGTTACTTGAAGCATTTATTTGCTTTTCTCTTGGCTATGTGGAGTCTGTTTATTATTAATGTTCAATGAATTAGCTATTGGCTGTTTCAAAATTATTTACTTAGTGTTTTACAATTGAAATATTTTCAAGGCCATTATCTTATGCAGGATGAATAATCCCTTCATTACAGTTTAACTGTTTCCTTCACTGATATCTTTAGAAGGTTCTGCATATGGAAAAGCTTATTCAAATTCTAGTATCACTGTTTACTAGCTTTGTGTACTTAGATAAGTTACCAAACGTCTCTGAGCCTCAGTTCCCTCCTCTGAAAAATAATACCTACATTACAGCATTGTAAGGATTAAATGAAATCTGTTAAGTGTTGAAATATGTAAAGCTTTGGTTTTTCCAATGGTTTTGTGCAGATGTGAGAGTTGAATTATAAAGAAGGCTGAAAGTGAAAGTCACTCCGTGGTGTCTGACTCTTTGTAACCCCATGGACTGTAGCCTACCAGGCCTCTCTGTCCATGGAATTCTCCAGGCCAGAATACTGGAGTGGGTAGGCGTTCCCTTCTCCAGGGGATCTTCCCAACCCAGGGGGATAGAACCCAGGTCTCCGGCATTGCAGGCTGATTCTTTACTGTCTGAGCCGCCAGGGCAGCCTGAGTGCCAAAGAATTGATGCTTTCAAATTGTGGTGCTGGAGAAGACTCTTGAGAGTCCCTTGGACAGGAAAGAGATCAAACCGGTCAATCCTGAAGCAAATCAACTGTGAATATTCATTGGAAGAGCTGTTGTAGAAGCTCCGTTACTTTGGCTATCTGATTTGAAGCGCTAACTCACTGGAGAAGAACCTGTTGCTGGGAAGGATTGACGGCAGAAGGAAAGAGGGCGGCAGAGGATGAGATGGTTAGATAGCATCACCAGCTCGGTGGCCATGAATTTGAGCGCAACTCTGGGAGATAGTGGAGGACAGAGGAGCCTGGCGGGCTATAGTCTGTGAGGTCTCAAAGAGTCAGACGTGAATTAGCAACTGAACACCACCACCACCAACAGAAAAGCATTTAGCGTCATGTCAGTTAACATTCTCAGTAAGTATTTGTTCCTATCCCCTTTCCATGCAAGTTTGTTGTACTAACTGTCTTTTCTGGGAAATACAGCTAGCTGTTAAATAAATTCACCCTCAGATGGAAATACAAATCGTTAACATGAGTGCTGTACTAATGTGATTACTGACGGCTGTTAGCAGGAGAACTGTAGCCATGTTCCTGGTGCTTGAGGAAAGGCTAGCTGGTGACAGTCATCTACTTTTGACCAGCCATCTTTGCTTCTCTGTGCTTGTGAAATGTTCTCTGACTGTCAGTGAAATGGCTTCTAACAAAACCCCTCAGTTTCTAATAGTTCAGTATAGGATATTAAAATATTCTTGAATAGCAGTATTAGCTCCTGAAAATACAAAAGAGGTATATAAAAATAACCTATAATGATGCCAACCACAGGTAATTGCTATAAATATTTTGGTATGGTTTATGTATGTGTGCTGAGAATTTTAAGTCATTACATTCTATTCATAATTGTGATTTAAATGGCTGCGTGGTATTTATTTTAAATCTAAGCTTTGTTTTGAGGTTTGCATTTTTTTCCTTCTAGTAAGTCATGTTGTAATACACATCTTTATATATATAAAAACTTTATTTCTGATTATTTCTTTAGGTTAATTCTTAGGAATAGAGTTACTGGTCAGAGAGAATAAACAGTAATATTTTATAAATGTTTTTCCAAATTTCTTTCTAGAAAGGTATCAGTTTATACCCCCATGAACCCCAAATGTGACTTTCTGACAGAAGAGAGTTACTTTTTTGAATATACAGTTTGGCTGGTAGTTAAGACGGTTGATTTGTGTATAGTTTTTTTGCTAATTGATTCTTGTGCAATTGATTCAATTTGGCACTTATTTAGGAAGAGGCCAAATAACATTCTAATGACCAATGGGATCTTGCCTGAGATTTTAAAAAAAGTTGGCTTTTAGTTTAAAAGTAATGGTTAAAGTAATATTTGTTAAGTGGTAACTAGTATGCCAGTGTGCCATAGTCATATCTTGATTTTTTTGTATGTGTTATGAGGTCTCTTCAGGGCTAGATGCTATAGTGATTTTTAGAGGAAAATGAGATTCTTCTAATGTGCAATTAAAATATTTGCATTATTGGCAGTATACATAATAGAGAAACTTAAGGGTAAAAATCAGCTCATTTTATTTTGTAGTAAAATCAAAAATAGGAAAAATATGCTAACATGATAATATCTAATGAGGGAAATGTTCTGTGCAGATGTCTGTTTTTCTATTAATCTCTAAAATGACTATATACTTTTATTTATATGAGTAACATCAGATACAAACATGTTGCTAGGAATATATATCTACTTAAAAAAAGATAAACACAACATGAGTTTAGAATTTTAATACTGTTTTAAAGGTGATTTAAACCTCTGGATAATGTAAGTTTTGAGATTTCAACAAAGATCTAATATCTATGTATGCCACTTCTGAGAGTTATTTAGATATTTTTCTCTTGTTTAACTGCATTTAGTACAGCTTCTAACACAGAGAAGTAAGAACTGAGTCCTGTATGATGTATCATTTATGGGGCACTGGGAAAAATAATTTTACTGTGTTATTTTTGAAGCCTCCTTCTAGGCACACTGGCAACCAATTTTATCTTTATTATAGTATGTAGGTAACAAGGTCATAGGCTTTTCAGCTAACACAAAGGGCACATGAAAAGAAAAGAGAACTATTTGTTTTGCTTTTGTCGTTAGTGGTAGTTGCTCTGTTGTGTCCGACTCTCTGTGACCCCGTGGACTGTAGCCCCCCAGGCTCCTCTGTCCTTGGAATTTCCAGGAAAGAATACTGGGGTGGGTAGCCATTCCCTCCTTCAGGGGATCTTCCTGACCCAGGGCTCGAACCTGCTCCTCCCGAACTGGTTGGTGGGTTCTTTACCATCTGAAACACCAGGGATGGAGTTTTCATATATCTTTGTACATTGGACACCTTTTCATGTTTATTATGCTATGCTGATAGCAGTGTCACATTTCATTAACACCAAATTAGTGGGAATGAAAAGCAGAACGTTTTGTTGCTGTTACTATTGTGTCAGATTTTTGTCCTGTAAGTACTTAACTTTTATGATAATGAATTATTTCAGAAGGGGAATGCCTTAGGGAGATATGTTTTGCTTTAAGCCAGAGTAGGCTGCTAACCTAAATTTGGACATATCCCTTCCGAGGTAAATATATTGTGATACTAATATGGATAAAAACAAACAGTTGTATTTTGCACTCTTGAATGTCAATGAAGGCACAGCTTCATTGAGGAGTGGGAAGAGAGATATACATGCACAAATGATCACCCTTTTGCATTGAAATGGGCATTCTTCAGTCCTGGAACTAAGCAAAACAAATAATAAAGTCACCCTGCTAGCTACACATACTTTACACTAACTTCACACTAACCCTATTGGACTCGACAGTACAGGCTTGAATGTACAATAACAGAGACAGGGAGTGTGGGTTTGGAGAGTTGGAGAGAAGAAACAGGGATATATGTAGAGGAGGTTAATACTCTAGGCTTTTGATTTTTAATTTGTATAATTAACTTTTTTCTCTCTCAAGTCTTGAATATAGAGTTGTAATTGGAATTAATTTAAGCATAGTTACCAAAATAATGGAATAAATCATTTAAGACAGGGTATCTTGTTTGTTGTTGAATATATTGATTAGCTCTAAGTAGGTTATCATGTTAGTTTATAAATCTTAATGCCTTGTCACTTGTAAACATGCTTGATATTAAAAAAATTTCTCCTTGCTTTGATTTTTCTTTGGTACCTAAAATTAATGGGCAAAACATGAACTTCATTATGAATTTCTCCTAATTTTTTTTTTTTACAGTTTACTTTCTCAAGACTCCTTTTGGATTACAGAGATCATGTTCTTCCTGTAAACTTCTATGGAAGAATTTAAAATGAGTAAGTTGATGTTCTGGGATATTATATTTTGAGAGATATTTGACTGAAATTAATATATATTATTATGTTGGCTGCTGCTAATGTGTTAGAAATTATCCTTCAAAGAGTCAAGTTGAACACAACCCCAGTGATGAGGGCTGAAAAGAGGCACATATACACAATCCTTTATAAGTCTGATGAGACTGCTTGTCAGTTTTCATTTATTTTAACTTGAATCAGCACCGGGGTCAACTTAATAAAACAAAGTAATGCTAGGCCTAGGATTTTAGCAAACATACTTTAGTGGATGTGTCATAAGTTTTTAAAAGCAATTTGAGGATAGAAGTCAAATATGTTGAATCTGTTGTACAACACAGTGCCGATAGTTAAAAATATGATATTGTGCACTTTAAAATGTTGAAGATAAATCTGATGTTTTTCACTTTCACTTTCTTTATGTGCTCTTACAACAGCACAAAAACACAAAAAAAAACAAAGAAAGGGAGAGACAAGATAGATATGTAGGAAATAAATAATGGTGATGAGGGGACAGAAAACCAAAAAAATCAAAAAAAAAGAAACATAAAAGTGCAAAAATATATATATGTCAGTTATACCTCAGTAAAACTAAAAATGATGATTATATTTTAAATATATATTCTGAAGAAGGAAGAGAAGAAAATTAAATAGATAAATTCCCAAAGCATTCGGAATTCTTGATGTAGGAGGTGAAAGGGAATGGCTTCATGTTTCTTTTTTTCAGTCTGTTGCATGGATGCTGAGTACCTGACACTGATGCTGATGCTGATGTTGGTGTTCTTAGCATCTAAGGAATATCAAATGTACTCTTAAGATTTTCTCATTAGAGATGTTTTCTTTTACTGAGGCTACTGATTCACAGGAAAAAACTCTGTGAAGGCAACATACAAGTGAAAAACAATTTATGACTGAGGAAGCAAAAGAGGAGGAGGAAGAAAGGTGGCAAAAGTGGGTACATAAGGGCTTCCCAGGGAGCCCCAGTGGTAGAGAGCCCACCTCCAGTGCAGGAGATATAAGAGATGCAGGTTCAGTCCCTGGGTCAGGGAGACCCCTGGAGAGGGGCATGCCAACCCACTCCAGTATTCTCGCCTGGAGAGTCCCATGGACAGAGGAGCCTGGCAGGCTACAGTCCATGGGGTCACAAAGAGTCGCACACGACTGAAGCGACTTAGCATGCAATATTGCTAGAGGAAACGTGAGAGGAAGGAAAATGACAGGGAATGAGTGGGATTATAAAGAGAGATTTTTCTCCATTTTGCTCAGGCTTTGGCATCTGAGGCCCGGTCTTATTCTTTTCCGTTCCATCCTGCCTATGGTCCTCTAGCTATTAAAAATCTTACTCTAGTTCTGATGCTAATCTAATTCCTTCAGCCTTCTACCTTTCCATCTGTGAGTATTCTAGATTCACATGGCCACCATTACTATTACTGGTCTTCTCATTCCACTGTCAGTTGCATTTGCTGAAAGCTTTCCTTGAATAGTCAAATCCTTCACATAGTTAATTCAGTAGATTCCCTGTCAGTGATAATTCACTGTAGCTTTATACCAGGCCGTGTTCTAGGCTCTGGAGATAAATTAGTTAATGAGATGAAATCTTGGTCCTCATCACACATATATATATATATTACAACAGATGAATAAGTATATATTTGATTTGCTGTGAAAAAAAAAAGCAGATTAAATGGGTAGAGAATAACAGAGTATCCTACTTTAGAAAAGGCAGTCAAGGAAGTTTTCTCTGTGGAGGTGATACTTGAACAGAATTCTGAAGTGAGGAAGCAAACATATGAATTTCCCATATTGGAAATGTAGCTGAGTTTCC